AGGTCATGATCCTGGAGTCCCGGGATCGAGTCCCGCATCGGGCTTCCTGCTCAGCAGGGAGCCTGCTTCTCCCTCTGATCCTCCCCCATCTCATGCTCTCTCTCTCTGTCTCAGTCTCTCTCTCAAATAAATAAATAAAATCTTTAAAAAATAAAAAAAATAAATTGTACCAAATATTTACCTTCGGTAAATAGGTATTGATACAAAGCAGAGAGGCTTGTTCCAGACTTGGTAGGTTTACATGTCCAAGCCAGAAGAGCCATGTCTCAGGCATAACCATGAATGACTCAAATTTTCAGGCAGCTGTGATAATCAGAGTAATTCTTAGAAAGATATGTTCCTACCCCAGACACACACACTGCCCTTTGGTCTATTTTCTTTCTCTCTCTGCAAAATAGGCTCTCAGGCCATCGCTCCCCGGTGCTTGACAACTAACAGAAGGCATAATGAGACCCTCCTGCAGGGGAACAGACAGCAGATAGCCCCCCGGTGCCATGTTCTGCTCAGGATCCCTCGAGCTAACAAAGAAATGGCTACCCTGAATAATCAAGTCCCAGGAGCCCAAGAACAGGTCCAGACACCTGAGCCATACACCGCAGGTCCCCAGTCTTCCTCCCCCACAAGGACACACAGCAAGACTACATACATGTCTGACGTGCGCTTGAAGATTCTTCACGCCAAAGGACCGAATCACGAACCAGAGTTTGATAGAGCGAAACCGCCGGCTCAGGGGGATCTGCCAGTGCTAGAACAAAGGTACACAGGGCTGATGGTTAGAGGCAAGGGCGCTGCTCCCTCACACACTCCTTGGCGTTGTCATACCCTGCCTGCCCTGCCCTCCAGGGATAGACGGTGTCACCATGACTCCGGAAGCTGTTGCTAAGGAGAAAAAGCCAAGGCAAGTTACCAAAGGCTGCCCTGTCACGTGGGAAGGTGGCCAAGAGTCACCCTTGCCCAAGAGCATGACAAGTGGAAACCAAGCCCATGACCCTGAACCAAGGAGAAGCCATTTTGCTTCAAATGCTGCTTTAAACATTTCAAACTGATATTCAAGATGGTGCAATACATTTTTTTTTCTTGAAAAGAATCTAAGTTCCTCAAATTGCAGAGAATAGTATTTCTATTCCCCCCAAAATGTAAAGAAGAGTGGTCAAGAGCTGGGACGCTACCAGCCCCGCAGACGTGGGTTTCCCCTCCGGCTCTGCCACTTCCTGGGTGATGCCACCCACTGGCTCCTCGTGAGACCGAGAGCGAGCAGCACCTCCGAGGGAAGTGGCGCGAAGAGAACCAAGGCAAAGAGCTTCACAGGAAGTCGTCAGCAAGCGGTGGCTATTTAGGTGATAAAAATGTGAGCTACAAATCACAGCAGTCTTTCTGCCTAGAGCCAAGATGATCATTATTTAATGTCACGGTCTGGTCCTGACTTCTTCCTGTGACATTCCTGTGACATTCCCGTGCTCTCAGGAGCCATGACTCCAGCTTTCAGGTTTCAAATGAGCATCCACATCTGGGCCTCTATGAAACTAAAATTGACCCTCTGTTCCTGGTAGCCAAATCAACAGAGCTTAAAGTTCAAGGCCGTGGGCACCCTAGATCGAAACATTTTCAAACCAATTTCAAACCAGTTTCACACATCTGAAAACAGACCAAAGGCTTTGGAAAACACTGACAGTTACCCTGATGTGGTAATGTGGTTTCTAATGACCTCTTCTTCAAATGTCAGAAAGCTTCACCACAATTTCTGTTGACCAAAAATAAATATTTGTTCCACTGATATTCATGTACTCGTCCACAGGATTACCAAATCCTCAAAAATGTGCTCACCTTCACCCTTCACACTCACTTCCTGACCTGGCATGGGCACTCTCCCTTTGGGGACACTGTCCCGTTGTGGATGGACAATGTTTCTCCTATGTCAAGTACTAAGCCTTTGTTCTCCAGCTTGGGGACTTTCGTTTACCAGCAGAGGGCATCAAAACCTGGACACAGGACAAAATCCCTGTGACAGGGAAAGCAGTCAGCTTCATCCCTTAGTAGATGGACACTTTGGGAGAATAATGAATGGATAATAAGAGCCTTCTCTAGAAACATGGCTTCCCAAATGGTTATGGCTAATTGGCTGCTTTATCTCACCAGCAAATTAAAACGAGAGGCAGAGATGATTTTATTTTTTATTTCTTCACACTATGTTCGTATGCCCAGTTGTTCCTCTTGTCACTATTCCAAAACCAATCCATGCTGACCCAGCTAGCTGATATTCTCGGTTAGAGCAGGAAATTTGGACTTAGAAAGGGGGACGTGGCTCTTCTTTAAATCCAGACATTCCCCAAGTCTCCTCTGTGTCCTTCCAAGGTTTTGCAGGTCTCCCCTGCCAAAGGCAAGACAATGCCCCATCTGCTAGTGGGAGCTTGAGGTCAGAAAATCTAGCCCTGATTTTAGGTGGTGCCAGAGCCCAGGGATGAAGTCCGTAAGTCTTCTCTCCCAGGATGCTGCTTATTTCTGGCTCCTCTCAAACATGGCTGGGCTTCTATTTATAGCTACAGCCACCTGGGGGAGAAAGAGCTTGGGTCAGAGCAGCGTGAAGACTCCCAGGATCACAACAGATAGAAGCTTCCATTTTCTAGAAGTTTCTTTTAGACTTGAAAATGGAATCCATAGAATTAGAGGTGGGGGAAGGAAACGCATAAAGCACACCTTCTGGATGTGGAAATATAAATAATAAGGTTTCCCTGGACCAGTGCTACGAAAAGTATAATTCAATATTTTGTATAAAAAGTTATCTAGAAGAGAGAGAGTACCATAAAATGTCCAAACTGATGGGAACAAACCACAGAAAGATCTCATGACACTGGTGGGAACACACAAGCAAACAAAAAGGTAACACGAGATCCAAAATGGGCAAAGGTAAGATAATGCTCTTAAGTTATGATGATCCAAATACACTTATGGAAGAATGGGTACCATTTCCCATTTCACACTCAAGAAAGAAACTTAGAATTATCCCTGAAGAGCTCTGCCCCTTGGGATGCTGTGGAAATGTTTTTTTAATTAAAAAGTTGCTGAAAACCTACCAGACAGGGCAGTGAAAATGCAAGAACCATTATTCGTCTATTTTTAGCAACCTCTCGAGGGTCTGTAAGCTGAGTATCTACAATTCCAATCAAAAATCTAAAGGAAGTGTGAGCTGGTCTGAGGGAGAATAAGCAATACAATCAAGAGATGACAGAGCTATTATTTTAGGACTAAAAGGCCAAGACATTTCAGTTGCCCAAGGAGATAAGACAGAACCATCTCTTTACAAACTGAGTCACAGACACCAGGCATGGCTCTCTCTGCCTCACGGCATTAACTCATTTAATCTCACGACAAGCCTAAGAAGCCAATATTATTATCATCATCCTCATTTTACAGATGAGGAAACCAAGACACAGAGGTTAAGTCATTTGACCAAGGCACAAAAGGTTAATGAATGGAGGAACAAGGATTCAAACACAGGCCATCCGGCTTTAGCACCTCAACGCTTAACCGCTTTGCTATAGCGAATCTCTGCAGCTTAAAAGAAGAACTTTTAGCAATATTAGCCCTACCGTTAATTGAGCATTTGCCACATTCCCAAGACTGCATTAAGTGATCTATATGTATGTTCCCATCTCAGCCTCTGTGAATCAGGGCCTGTGAAATCAGGATCACTGTGCCCATTTTACAGATGAGGAAGCCACAGCTCAGAGAGAGCCACTAAGTTTCCCAAAGGCCCACTGCTGGGGTAGCATTTCAAACCAAGCTCGTCTACTCTGCTCTGATGCCTCCCATTGGCCACGGGTATAACTGGTTTACATCTCTGTCTCCCCTACAATTAAAGAAAAGGCTCCTCTTCAAACTGAGGAGTAAATCTGAAGAATTCATTTCCCCAGGAGATAGTACAGGCTGAAAACGTGGGCAGGTGCAACTAGCTGAGAAGGCCAGGACTAGTTGGCAGCATCCAGAAACTCAGGAAGGGTACCTGTGCCCCCACCCCCTCCCGTGGAGCCTCCCACCGTGCCTCCACCGCCCTGGGGACAAAAGATGAAAGCAATTCAAGCAAGAAGCGTCTTTCCCTACCCACGGAGATTCTCCACGCTTCCCTGCTGCTGGGCACTAAGCAGAAAAGATTATCCAAGATGGAGACAGAAGGGAATCGATTCACTCATGGTAGAAAAGGCATCTCTGGAAATTAAGGAATGCCACACATATTCAGGAAATGGGCATATTGCCTCAGAGGTTGGCCTCATTTTCTAGGCTTTTTAACAGTTTTCTGGGTTTCATTCGATATGCTTAGAAACCAAAGGCATACAGCAACATATTATGGGATGGGTTCACAATATGCCAATTTCGGATGGAAGCCAACATCAAGGAGACCTTCTGGGGTCAGGTGCAGTGAGCTTCCATCCCAGAGGCCGTCTCTGGCCACTCACCATGAAGTCAGTTGCTGTGCCTGAGTCGGCATGCCTGAGGTAGATGGGGTTCACGCTGAAGGTCTGCTGCAGCTTGTACTTGTCCTTGACCCTGTGGGTTTCCAAACAGGCATTAGTGGCTGAGGCCTCTCCAGAGGAAGCAAGGCTTTCCCATGGGCTGGAAGCTTGGCTGCCTCACTCACCAGAAGCCAGTACAGTCAAAGTGCACCATCATCCACTTGGAGGGATTAAAGGTGAAGGAATCGGCGTACTCGATGCCCTTCAGAAACCCCCGGAACTCGGGGCACAGGAAGGCCGTGCCTGCATACGCAGCATCGATGTGGAGCCACAACCCCTCAGTGGCACCTGAGGAGACAAATGTTGCCTGGCTGGGAGGCAGGCCTGGGGGAAGGGCCATGGGGCGGGGGGAGGGGCGGCACATGGACGGGAAGGGTGGGGGCCTCCGGAAGGGAAAATCCACGGAGCTACAACCGGCCTTTTGCTCTCACCGGCCAGAGGGTCGACAGGCTAGAAGTTCCTGGCACAGAAAGCAACTCCCCGCTGGTCCGCTGGTCGGGAGAGCAGGGTTAATGCATCTAACAAATGTTCCAGAAGGGATGTCTCTCTTTCCTAGTGGGTTTCTTGCTTGGGGATTTTAAGCAACCCCATTTGGGTTTCTTCCCTGCCTATATCTTCCCCCATGGTTTCCCCTACCCTACCATTTTCCTTTCCTTGGGCTAGAATAGAAAATATTTGACAGTGCCTCCTTTACCCTGTGTTTCGCATATGGCCTGTTTTAAGTTGATTTTGACATACAAATGAGAGGGCACGAAAACCCGAGACTCTCCCACTGTTGCTTCCTAAAGAGGATGCAAGGCAAGGGCCGGGGG